TCTAGCTTTTTGTATGCTTTGTCCGAGAGAAGGTTCTTCATCTTTTTCCTGTAGTCTGATGTATTTATGACTACTGTCGTGTTGCCTTTGTCGGCTGGGAGCACGATGATGTCTGTGTCCTTGTTCAGGTCTTGGAGGGCCAATCGCTCTTGTCTAGTGATGTTTGATGGAGGGGGTTTGGCTTTGGAGAGGATATTGGATACCTGTCTGCGGATGTTATCTGCTTGTTCCGATGGGAGTCGGTAGATGGTTGACTCTATTTGGCTGATGATCTCTTCTTTTGGGACCTTTCTAGGTGCCACTGCGAAGTTGGGGCCTTTGGCAAGCGCAGAGATAGTGTCTTGGGATAGATTTTTGTTGGATAGGTTCTTGACGTTGAGTAGGGAGGGTTGTGGTTTTTTGTGAGGAGCAAGGTCAATGTATTTTTGTTTCTGTCTTTCAGAGGATCGTGTCAGGGTATTCGTGGCTTGTTCGTATGTAATACGATCTAGAGTTTGCCATATGTCATGCCGCAACGTGGCGGATAGGAGTAGGTGGAGTTTAAAGGTTTTATGGGAGATCTGGGCAATTTGTGACTTGGTAAAGTGGATGCGTTCTTTGAGGAGGATGAGGCTGGTTTTATGGAGGATGTTTTTGGATTTGTGGGTTCTTAGGTGGTCCTTGATTTGCAAGAACTTTGGGATGATGTTATTATCCCTACAGCGTTTTAGGAATGCCAGGTTTGATAGTTTCTTGGCTAGGGAAGACCTTAGTTTGCTGAAAGTGTTTACTTTAGTATATTAATATTAATGTAATTAAGTATATTAATATTAATGTAATATTTACTTTATTTCATTCTGTCTACTCATTAAAACAACTATTTCGATTCGTCAGTTTCTCATTCTGTATGTGATTATTATATTCTCTGTTGCATGACACTGTTCTTAATTTTTACCTATTCTATTGCAAAATTTATACGCAGGAAAGTAAATAAATTTTACTTTTTTTAATATTAATTGAGCCGAGTTGAACGTTGAATAATGATGTTCTAACCTAACGTTGTGAATGCTAATGTAAAGCTACTTTCTCGAGTCTTAATTTAGAAAGCAAAAATCGATTATAAATCGATCAGTTGCTCTGCTAAAAATAAGAAATAAATTGTAATTACACGTTACAATATTTAAACAACTGTATAAACGTGATACGTGTATACATTTGTCTGTGATTATTTCATGAGTATTAGATATTGTTTAAAATTTGTTCAGTTTATTTTTAACGTTTTAATATTTTGTACGAAAATTAGACTACCAAGTAAATTAAATTACCAGAAATAATCAAATAATAACGAATATTGAAGTGATATTTTTCCGATTCCGATGGTAATTGATGTAAGAAACAATTCTACTTTCCGTAAGATTGCATATCTATTATATAGGCAGATTATTTGTAATGTAAGCCGTGATTTATACGCAAGATTGCAATTTTCAACCAGGCAATACGAAGGTATTTACTTCGCCGTAGAACCCCATAAAAATGGATTACGGCAAACGCGCTATTTCAGAAGAAACATGTGTTCGTACTTTATAGCTTCGTGGTTTGTTCATTACTTTCAACTCTTTACAGATTTGTAAAGTAGGTCTCTCTAGTATTACTGCAGTTATTTAACATATTTTTTATACATACATATTTCCTACGCTGTCACAGCATTATTTTGCAAAATTGTTTTATCTCTAGTTAATCGTTAGAATATGTTGAAATTAGAAATTGTTAATTAAATTCAGCTAGTTGAAATTTATGGGTTGACTGAAATTTACGTCTGACTACTGGATACGTATACATTTATTTACTAAAGAATTTTGGAGAGGGCGGAATGAGTTAATTCCACCCTCCATAGCACAGAGCAGACAGAAGAGGATACAGATGTACTCGCTGTATTTTTGTTCGCGTTAAGAACAAAGAGTCTACATATCACGTTTACGGTAGTAAAACGAGGCAGAATCCTCCCTCTGTATAAATCACATGGAGCTGCGTTTCCCTAGGTCGCGCCTTCACAATATACTCTCTCATTCGTCGGCGATTATATCGATCCGATCTCAAGAAAGTACTACTTTCGGCGTTCAAAATTACAAGATCGTGGGATGTATTAAGTAAGAATTCGTTCGATGAGACCCTGTTCTTAGCGATAGAAGAGAATTCCGAAAATTGACAATTACAGATTCAATTAGTCATTTGTCATAGCACTCGAATTCTACTTCACGTTAACTCGAGAAAAAAATTACAATCAAGTTGAAGATACTTTGCATCTAAAAGTGTAAGAAACATCACGCTCTGTGTCACAAAGACAATTTTTGCGCTCACAGCATGGCTCTCTTAAAAAAAAAAAAATAAATTCTAAATTTTTTTCTAAAAGTGTAGAATTAAGGAGTAGTACGTATGTATATAAGTAGACTAAAAACAGAAATTTTTCGTAGGAATTCTTTTCGAGATTTTTAGAGAGTTGTACGACGCAATCAAACTTTTTTAATTTAAAAGTAAAGAGTTACGTACATTGCAATGTTTGTAAAAACAATTCTGTTGCCATTGTGATATTTAAACAAATTAAAACCAAATGTAGAAAATAGTATAACTAAATAAAAATATACATACATACACTGTAAAAAATAAAATGTTAATTTTAATTTAAAGACGTATAGTAGATTTTCAAAAAATCCACTATATGTCTGTAAGTTGAAATTAACATTTTATTTTTTACAGTGTATACTTTTAAGAAGATAAAATTTGATTATACGTTTCGTAAATAATTTCCGAAAAATAAAGAAGGTAAAATTACCGGATTTTGGTCTAAACGATGGAATCTCTCTCTTGTGCACTTTTTCTTGCATTTTTTAATGTGCTGAATCATTTACAAACTTTTATTTCGAACTGATGTGATAGGAACATGTTAAAAATCGCATTAAAAGTAGCATAATTTCGTTAAAATCTGATATTTGATTGCAGTTTTTTATATTTTCCGATTAGATTAGCTTGAAATTAATGTTTGCAAATAATTCAGCATATCAAAGAAAATAAAAAACATGCGTAAGAGAAGGATTCCAGAATCTTTTTTAAGTTTTTTTTTTCATATTTTTTGA